CTTTCATGAAGCAGGAACCTTGTAAGACTGAGTTCAGCAGTCACTTTCCTGTGGGTCCTGCATGTCCAGTCTATACAGCAACAGACAAACAGTCTATGCAAGAGCAGTTTCTTGCCCAAATGGCTAATCTTGCCATGTTGAAAGTAAACTCCATAACGAGTTTCTTCGAGGCCCATCTTCCTCTCAGACATAATTGGTGCTGCCAGGAGCAGACATTTCTCATTGTCAAGAAAAACCCTAAACCATTTTAAATGCTATTTTCTGAAGGTCTTTGAGAGGTTTGAAGACTGTTTATGTCAAATATATTTCTGTATATCTAGAAAACCTAACTTACCTAACTATAAATTCTGACTATTATAAGTAACTATCTATAATCTGTATTTAATTACGCATTACATTTTAAAAGATCATTATAGCACAATACTTAATCAAGAGGAGAAATATACATATCACAAAATTGACCTTGAATTTGTATCAATTAATGAAAAACAATACCCATACCATAATTCCCCTTTTCACCATTAAAAAGAGATTGGTTGTGATCATTAACTAATTATAAACAACCCCATTTAAATGAAAACAAAGATCTATAAACAAGATGGGAATTAGGACGTCGCTCATTCCAAAATGCTTCATGCTGGAAGGGGGCGCTGTTCATACCATGGGGATCATGACAAAACTCAGGAACCTGTATAAGTCCATATTTTCGGGGTCTGTAAGACTGCATCATCTTAGCTGTTTCAACTGTTGGAACATCTGATCCACTGCTTCCGGGGTCTTGGTTTGTCAAACCACAGAAGCCTGGAAGGAATCCTCAGCTTTTCATTTTCTGTAGAAACATAAATAAAAACTCCTTTTCCAAGTAACATATCCTTATACTTAAATTTTGAAGTCAAGGCATTTTTAAAAGATATAAGTTGAATTAATTCAGCAGCATTTATAATCAAGTATACTTTAGCAGTTGTTCCTTCCTGAGCAATCAAAAAGCTGAAAAACACAATAGCGTACAGTATGCAGACTCTCTGTGTATTTTCCATCTTTACGTGGCTTATTTATTTATTATTACTTGATTTCTTTCACTTTTATTTCTTTTTCTCTGAGACAGGGTTTCTCTTTGGAAATCCGCCTGCCTCTGCCTCTGGAGTAAATTCTACCGGCGTGTGCCATCACAACGCTGGCATTTGTATTTATTTACCACTTTGCCGTTTCATTTTCTCTCTCAATCTCACATATATTTTTAAACACACTGTAAACCTTTAGAGGTTTTGTTCATCCAAGTCTGACTTTACTGTAAATCTTTATGTTTTTCTGGCCACGTGTCTTATCTGTAAAACCGCGGCTGTTTTAAACTGTCGTTCCAAGATGGCGGGCGTAAGCTTGATTCCAGCTTATCCCCTCAGTCCATGCTGACATCCAGCAAAAGCTGCCACTTCCAGCTGTACGTACACACCTTTTAATCATTAGCAGAGTCTCTTAAAACAACCTTGCTGGTTTTTTTTTCTTTTTATGCCGAGTCAGGAAGACTCCGGAAGCAAGCCACATGAATCTCGGCTTGTCGATAGCAAAACACGTGAGAAAAATGCTGCTATCAAAAATCTGTGCTTCTCTCCGTTCTTCTGTTTCTAAAATTTCTTTAAAGCTTTTGTCATTCTACATGGAAATTCAATCCCGCTCTGACACCGTTCTGTAAAGAGAAGCTTTTTTCCTTGTGAGAAACCTTCCCGCCAGCCTGGTTCCAGAGCCACATCAGTCCCAAATAAACACACAGGAGGCTATATTAATTATGAAGCTGTTGGCCTTGCTTGTTTCTTACTGGCTTTACTGACAAATGCACAGGACTTCCCCAACATCTATCTAGGACCTTCTGGTTTTCAGAGTTTCCATGGAGACATCAGGTGTAATTCTGATAGGTTTGCCTTTATATGTTACTTGGCTTTTTCCTTAGCTTCTCTTAATATTCTTTCTTTATTCTGCATACTTGGAGTCTTGATTATTATGTGGGGAGGGGACTTTTTTGTGATCTACTCTATTTGCTGTTCTGTAAGCTTATTGTACCTTTCTTCATTGGCATGTCTTTCTTAAGGTTGGGAAACTTTTCTTCTATGATTTTGTTGAATATGTTTTCTGCCCGTTTGAGTAGATTTTCTTCACCTTCTTATATACCTACTATTCTTAGGTTTGGTCTTCTCATGGTGTCCCATATTTCCTGGATGTTTTGTGTTAAACATCCAGTGTGGGTGTTGTGACCTGAACTCAGGACCCTGGAAAGACCAGGGTGTACTCCTATGCACTGTGTCATCTCTCCAGTCCCCAGTGAGCACATTTTTTTCTTTTTTATGATTTATTTTGAAATGTAAATTTAAATTAGAAAAAAGGTTGCTTCACAAGTCAGTTCCAGGTCCCTCTCCGTCTCCCTCCCCTCCTCCCGTGCCATCCCCCCAACTCCTCCTAATAGCCCCTCGTTTCCCCAGGGAGGATGAGGCCTTCCATGGGGGTGTCCATAGTCTGTCATTTCATCCAGGGCAGGGCCTAGACACTCCCCAAGGGTTCAGGGTCAGAGTGCATCTACCATTGTTGGATGGGAGTCCAAAGTCCATTTGTATACTGCCCAAGGTTCAATAGATTACATTGGCCTCCTCGCTGACACCCACATTCAGGGAGTCTTGATCAGTCCCATGATGCTGGATTGCCAGGCATCAGCCTGGGATTCAAGAGCGAACCCTTGTCAGGTCAGCTGTTTCTGGGGGTTATAGCCAGCCCAGTCTTAATCCCTTTGGTCTTCAGTCCTCCCTCTCTGTTACTGGCTTTCTTGAGTTCAGTCTGCCTCTTCTTCCATCAGCCATTGAATGAAGGTTCTGTTTCTTCACCTTCTTCTATACCTATTATTCTTAGGCTTGGTCTTTTCATGGTGTCCCATATTTCCTGGATGCTTTGTGTTAAGGATTTGTTGGAATTAAGACTTTCTTTGGCTGATGAATCTAATTCTCCTAGTGTATCCTCAAAACCTGAGATTCTCCCATCTCTTATATTCTGTTGGTAATGCTTGTATTGGTAGTAGCTGACCGTTTGCCCAGCTTTTCTATTTCCAGCCTTTCTTCAGATTGTGGTTTCTTTTCATGTCTCCATTTCAATTTCAGCCCTTGCGCTGTTTGCAATGTTTCTTACAGTTTTCCTTTTATCTTATTGTCTAGTTGCTGTATTTTATGAATTTTTTGGTTTGTTTTTTCTTCCATTTCTTGCATCTTTTGCTTTGTATTTCTTGCATTTTTTGCTTTATTTTTCTTCCATTTCCTGCCTTTTTTGGTTTGTTTTTTCTTCCACTTCCTGCCTTTTTTGGTTTGTTTATTCTCCCATTTCTTGCATTTTTTGGTTTGTTTATTGTTCCATGTCTTTGAGGGATTTTCCTACATCCTCTCTTAGGGCCCCTATCATGTTCATGAAGGTGGCTTCAAGGACATTCCCTTCTGCTTCATTTGCATTGGAATGTTGGAGTCTTGGTGGTGTGGAGTCTCTAGAATTTGGCAGTGTCATCTTTGTTTTTCTGTTGCTGAGTGTGTTGCTGTATTTTCCGTTCATCTTTTCATCCAGTTGTTGAATTTTATTAATTTTTTGGTTTGCTTTTTTTAACATTTCTTGCATTTTTGCTTTGTATTTCTTCTTGCATTTTTTGCTTTATTTTTCTTCCATTTCCTGCCTATTTGGTTTGTTTTTTCTGCCATTTCTTGCATGTTTTGCTTTGTATTTATTGCATTTTTTGCTTTATTTTTCTTCCATTTCCTGCCTTTTTTGGTTTGTTTTTTCTACCATGTCTTGCATCTTTTGGTTCCTTTTTTTTCCATTTCTTGCATTTTTTGCTTTCTTTTTTTCCATTTCCTGCCTTTTTGGTTTGTTTTTTCTTCCTTTTCTTGAACTTTTTGGTTTGTTTATTCTTCCATTTCTTGCATTTTTTGGTTTGTTTATTGTTCCATGTCTTTGAGGGATTTTCCTACATCCTCTCTTAGGGCCTCTGTCATTTTGGTGAAGGTGGCTTCAAGGTCATTCCCTTCTGCTTCATTTGCATTGGAATGTTGGAGTCTTGGTGGTGTGGAGTCTCTAGAATTTGTCGGTGTCATCTTTGTTTTTCTGTTGCTGAGTGTGTTGCTGTATTGTCTCTTTCCTATCTCTTATTCTAGTGGGTGCAGAAAGAGCCTCTTACTGGTATGGGGGTTAGGGGACCAGAGTTCCTTTTTGGTGGGTGCTAGCAAGTCCAATAATCTGGTAGTTCTTCTATTTCTTGTCCTCATTCTGGTCTCGTGGGTGGAGAAGTAGACCTGGAATCTGGGGTGCTTAGTCTCCCACCTGGTGCCCTGGTCCCTTTGCTGGATCTGCAGGCTTCCTAGTCTCATTGGTGGAAGAGAAAACCTGGAATCTGACTTGCTTGTCTCCTGATGGGATTGGAAGCTCTGTGCAGTTCCCAACAATCCCCAGGCACTGGAATTTTTTTACCCGGTCCTGCTGGAACAGCAGGTCCCCTGGTCTCCATGGATCTGCTGGTCTCCTGGTCTCTAATCCGCATCTTTGAGGTGGGAACACCCACCCTTAATCCGGATCTTTGTTGGTGCTAGCCCCGCCTCTCATCCGGGCCACGCCTTCTGCTGGAAGCCTATAAAGAGCTGGAAATCTGGGAGTGTCTCTGTTGTCTGCTTGCTCTCTGCTGGTTGTCAAGTCCCTCCCTTCTCTGACACGAGAGCCTGCTTGTTTGGGATTCCAGCACAGACTGACCACCGAGTGAGACATCCTGCTTGTGGAGTGAAAGCTACTGGAGACTTGGACCTGAAATTCACAGGCAGCCATAGTATGATTAGATGGACCGCAGCACATAGGTCCTTCTAATGCCCTTCCTTTACTGTGTAGGGAGACATCCATTCTGTGAGCTCTGTTTCTCTGGAGAACCTTGACAAATGCACTAACCCACATGCCTTCTTTTCAGGTTAGAGGGAAATTCTGCCTCTCACAGCAACATGGGCAGGGAATCAGGAAGCCGTGACCCCGCAGACCCTTGCTGCCCTCCCTCCAACATAGATACAGAAAAACAGATCATCTTTGAAAGGACATCAGGTGATGAGAAGCAACCAGCAGAAAAGGGGGAGAAACTGGCTGCCCATTGCAGGAAAACCTCGGAACAGGGCACAGGTAAGGGGGCATTCTAAAGTGAGGGAGGGGCAGGATGGCAGCCACAGAGAGGGAAAGATTGACAGGATTGGTAGGAAGTTGGCTGGAGGGTGGGTGGGGAACCACTTGACAGTCGTTATCAGAAGCAGATTTGAAGAAGTCCCTAAGACACCTGGTACTGGCAAAACATTCTTAGATCCCAGGAGCAGTTCCATTCAAAGTGGGTAGTCAAAGAATAGGGGATTGTGTGAGACAAGGCATCCTGTCACCTAAACTCTCTCTGACTTTAGGATCAGAGCCAAATGAAAATGAGGAGAAGCCCAGGAATTCAGAGATGGATTCCAGACAGCAGGGTGATGGATCAGGTAAGGTTTGCCTCTGCTAGGGTGAGGGTGGCAAGGGGTGGAGTCAGAGATCTTGCATGGTCCCAAGAGCCCTTAGACCTCCAGGTCTCTGGACTTCCTGGCTCGGGGCAGCCAATATTTAGGGCGGTGTTCAGCATCTTGTGAGTCCAGCTTCTGTTTGGGGTGTGGAGCTGAAGGTTTTCCCTGACAGTGCCCTAATGAACACAATCAATTTTCAGCCCGGATGACAGAAAACCCAAGGAAGAGGAAACACAGTTCCAAGGACTCCAGGAAGGTCAGAAGAGGTGAGTGCTTTCTTTCCCCCAATGTGTCAAGCCCATCTGCCTTACCCAAGGCTGAGGCAAGGTGTCTGGGTGCCTCTGAGCACCTAGGAGAGGCCGGGTTCTCAGAGCATGTGAGATCTCAGACCAGACCCTGAGGGCCATGGGGCCCAACAGCCAGCCACCCCTGGGTTCTAAAGGCTCCAGAGGAGGTTCTGGGACAAGGGTGAATGGGAACTTTCCTGCGGGTTCTCTCATGCTCATGGTGCCTTTCCACAGGAAATGAGGAGGCCTCTCACTTGGAAAAGAGACTAAGGACCACAGCAAACGAAGGGGAGTTCAAAGCCAATGGCCACCAAGAAATCGCCCGCCCAGAAGCTCAGCACAGTGGCCCACCACCACTTCGGAAGAGCCTGGTACGCTTCCTTCAGGCTATGTCCGAGGCGGTTTATGGAGACATAGTGCAGGTGCAGGCCCAGTACCGTCATTCCCCGCTCTCCCAGGAGCAGCTCTCTCTGCTCACACAGCTCTCGGGGGCTCTGAGTGCCATGGGTCAGACTTTCTACAGCATGGGCACCCAGGCTGCCTATGGCTTCCCTGCTGCCGGCTGGCTTGTCCCACTCCAAAACTCTGACTCTATGGAGCCGTCTGGGAGTGAATCTCAGAGATCTTCATCAGAAGGATGAGAGAAGATAGCAGATTTTCACCGTCCATCGGACACTTCTGGGACGACAAAGGACTGCTTCATCTACCTCTGGACCACAGCCTGAAGCTTTCACACACTGCGTGAAGAGGACCAAACACTGGTGACATGAAGAATTGGAAGTCTTACTCAGGACCATGAACAGTGTTTCACTGACCATAGGATTCAAGTGCTGCCTCTGAAGGGGACATGTGCTTTCTCTGCCTTTGCAGTGGACACTTGCTTTCTCTGTATATCTGCTGAACCTGTGTGTTTGTGTTCTAGAAGATTGTGTGTTTGTGTTTTACAGTGTGACAAATAAATTTTGACTTACCAAGAAAGTGCCGTAGTCATTCGCTCTTTCCTTTGTAGTGTGAAGAGGGCAAATGCCCAGAAATCTAGCAGAATGTCCCCTGCAGCCCAAATTCAAACCTTCCCGTATTTTAACTTTAGTCTCCCATCTCCTGTCTCCCCATCTCCCAGCTCCCTCGTAATTTTACCATAAGTATACCTTTCTTCTTCAAAAGTAGTGAATGCCATGTCTTCAATCCTACTTAGTTGTTGTATGAGTATTTAGGTGGTGTGTGAGTTTCCAAAGCTTCTTGCCACAGTGTTATGGGATTCATGGGGGATATTTGTGGTAAAGGTGGTCTGTACATATCCCTACAGTGAGCAAGTCATCTAGAAGACTTCACAGGCCAGGCATGGAGGTGACAGAGGTAACAACATCTTGTCCTGACTCTATTTGTGTTTGCTTAGACACTTGTCAGCTCTCATCCCCACAATGTTTGTCTTGACCACACATTGGATATTTCCATGGACTTGACCATGGCCCATATACATTAACTAGACTTATTAAGGCTTATACAGACTTAACATAAAATAACTATAGGAGTTATGTGAAAAAATATCGTCACATTATGTCTACAAAGGTTACCCTGACCTTCAATTAATTTATGGGCAAAAGATGGTCCTTGTGGGTTTTGCCTTTGAAACCGCTGTGAGAACCTTGGGCACCAAGACATGGAGGCAGGGGCCCTGGCTCAGGCCTCGCTCAGGACACTACTCCCATACTTTCACTGCCTTACTGGATTGCTGCACGTTTTTAAGGTTTTGGCATACATTGTTAATACCTGCCCTCAGAGAACAGATGCACACCCATCTCTGTCAGTTCAAATCCAGTCTTATCTACATTGTGTGTTCTAGGACAGCCAGGGCTGGGTAGTAGCATCCTACCTTTTAGAAATATGTTTTATAAATACACAAACAAACAGTTTCACCCGAGAAATAAAATTCAAACAATGTAAACAAGGCCATCAAGCACACTCCAGGCTGAATGTGTCTAAAAAAGAAACAGATCACACATCTTTGTACCCAGTATACTCAGTAGGAGGCATCCATTCTTCCTGAGAAGCTGGTACCTGGCTGCTTTGCTTCTCTGATATTCAGCTTGAAGCTGGAAACTCAATATCAGTCTCCGGATCTTTATTTTTTTGTGTCACAGTGGGTTTTTGAGAACACTGTGGAGAGTGGAACTGAGCTGAAGGGAAGGGTTCCCTTTCCCTTAACTGATTGGTGAATTCCTCCTTTCTCTCTTTCTCTTGAGACTGTGTCTCCAATATAGCCTAGGCTAACTACAGTCTGTGGTGGGCCAACCTCTGCCACCTTTCAGCTAGAGTTTGGGTGCCAATCCTCCTTATTTGGTGAGGTCATCATGGTGGCTGAGGTAAGGCAATACAATCACAATGTGAACTAAGCAACTCCACTTGTCCAAATGCTGGTTGTGGTGGTGGAGTCCTTTAATCCTACCACTCACGAGGCAGATACCCAGAGAAGTCTGTGAGGTCCAGGGCAGCCTGGATTGAAGAGTGAGTTCCAGGCCCACTGGGGCTACATAGTGAGACTCAGTTTCAGAAGAGGAAACATACATTTGACATTGATATTCATCCCTGTATTTCTACATAATCATATCCCAGTGTACTTGAAGTATCCCTTTGCAACCCTATCTGTGTCTTTGATGAATATATGAGGCATTTAACACATATGTCTGCGATTGGGATATGTGCAAGGAGGGATCGATACCAGAAGGCTTGCTCCCCTTGCTCAGAATATTCATACACTTCTCTATAGATTGAGGATTTAATTTTTCCTCTTAGAAGGCTTGGATCTCTCTCTCTCTCAGTATTTTTTGGTAAGAACAGAAGAAAGAACAATGGTTGGACATGTTCGCTGACTTTCTGTCCAGTGTCCCTAGTCTTCTGGCTTTGCTATCCAACTTGGGTCATCCTGTAGGGACCCCTCAATGGCATCATCATTAACTGAGGCTCAAGTCCAACACAAACAGATTGCTTCCCTGGCCAGGCCTCATAAGTGACAGGAATGGGGAAGCTTTGCAGTCAGTGAGAGAGCCCCGCCAATAAGGGGGACTTGTAAAGCACCTGAAGCAGGCTACATGTCCTGGCCTCTTGAGTTGTCAAATTGACTGCATCTGCAATTCAACATGAGCCTAAACTCACTGGGACACCTGTGATGGATCATTTCCTAATTAGGTCATGGAACTGGGAAGGAAGGCCCATCTCTAATCTGGAATTTTTTGTGTTTTAATCACATTTTATTATGATGTAACCTGGTTGGGATATGAACCTATTTACTGATTTACATTTAATTTTGCTTAGAAGCTCTAAGCCTTTTAGTAGGTAAATATATAAGATGATAATCTTTAAAAAAATTTGCAAAGACATAGCGTTCTAAAGTTGATATCAACAATTAAAGCTAAATGAATCACAAAACCAAACTGAAAGTTCTAATCTGGGAAACGGAACAGTAGGTAGAAGACATAACACTAGAAATTAAAGAGGAATAAATGAAGCCAGGGAGAGAAGGTGCTGAGAATACATTACATACATGTGTAAAATTGTCAGGAACAAAATTACTCAATAAAAATGTATGGAAAATTCACCAATTTAGGAGGGAAACATCCCATTTTCAACTTATTTCTTAAACATATAGTTGCTAAAATACTATTTAGTTATATATATCAAGGCAATTCATATTTGTATGACTAGACCACAAATACTTTAGAATCCTTATAATACAGTAACTAAACAGATTATTTCCTTTGAAGATTTATTTTTTAAATTATGTGTATATGTGTGTGCTGGGGGTGTAAATTTGAGTACAGAGCAAATGGGAAGCCAGGAGAAGGTGTTGGTTACCTTAGAGCTGGGGTTGTAAGCAATTGTCAGTCACCCAGTATGGGTGTTGTGACCTGAACTCAGGACCCTGGAAAGACCAGGGTGTACTCCTATGCACTGTGTCATCTCTCCAGTCCCCAGTGAGCACATTTTTTTCTTTTTTATGATTTATTTTGAAATGTAAATTTAAATTAGAAAAAAGGTTGCTTCACAAGTCAGTTCCAGGTCCCTCTCCGTTTCCCTCCCCTCCTCCCGTGCCATCCCCCCAACTCCTCCTAATAGCCCCTCGTTTCCCCAGGGAGGGTGAGGCCTTCCATGGGGGTGTCCATAGTCTGTCATTTCATCCAGGGCAGGGCCTAGACACTCCCCCAAGGGTTCAGGGTCAGAGTGCATCTCCCATTGTTGGATGGGAGTCCAAAGTCCATTTGTATACTGCCCAAGGTTCAATAGATTACATTGGCCTCCTCGCTGACACCCACATCCAGGGGGTCTTGATCAGTCCCATGATGCTGGATTGCCAGGCATCAGCCTGGAATTCAAGAGCGAACCCTTGTCAGGTCAGCTGTTTCTGGGGGTTATAGCCAGCCCAGTCTTAATCCCTTTGGTCTTCAGTCCTCCCTCTCTGTTACTGGCTTTCTTGAGTTCAGTCTGCCTCTTCTTCCATCAGCCATTGAATGAAGGTTCTGTTTCTTCACCTTCTTCTATACCTATTATTCTTAGGTTTGGTCTTTTCATGGTGTCCCATATTTCCTGGATGTTTTGTGTTAAGGATTTGTTGGACTTAAGACTTTCTTTGGCTGATGAATCTAATTCTCCTTGTGTATCCTCAACACCTGAGATTCTCTCTTCCATCTCTTGTATTCTGTTGGTAATGCTTGTATCGGTAGTACCTGACCATTTGCCCAGCTTTTCTATTTCCAGCCTTTCTTCAGATTGTGGTTTCTTTTCTTGTCTCCATTTCAATTTCAGCCCTTGCACTGTTTGCAATGTTTCTTCCAGTTTTACTTTTATCTTATTGTCTAGTTGCTGTAGTTTATGGATTTTTTGTTTTTTTTTCCATTTCTTGCATCTTTTGCTTTGTATTTCTTGCATTTTTTGCTTTATTTTTCTTCCATTTCCTGCCTTTTTTGGTTTGTTTTTTCTTCCACTTCCTGCCTTTTTTGGTTTGTTTATTCTCCCATTTCTTGCATTTTTTGGTTTGTTTATTGTTCCATTTCTTTGAGGGATTTTCCTACATCCTCTCTTAGGGCCCCTATCATGTTCATGAAGGTGGCTTCAAGGACATTCTCTTCTGCTTCATTTGCATTGGATGTTGGAGTCTTGGTGGTGTGGAGTCTCTAGAATTTGTCAGTGTCATCTTTGTTTTTCTGTTGCTGAGTGTGTTGCTGTATTGTCTCTTTCCCATCTCTTATTCTAGTTGGTGCAGAAAGAGCCTCTTACTGGTATGGGGGTTAGGGGACCAGAGTTCCATTTTGGTGGGTGCTAGCAAGTCCAATAATCTGGTAGTTCTTCTATTCCTTGTCCTCATTCTGGTCTCGTGGGTGGAGAAGTAGACCTGGAATCTGGGGTGCTTAGTCTCCCACCTGGTGCCCTGGTCCCTTTGCTGGATCTGCTGGCTTCCTGGTCTCATTGGTGGAAGAGAAGACCTGGAATCTGAGGTGCTTGTCTCCCGATGGGATTGGAAGCTCTGTGCAGATCCCAACAATCCCCAGGCACTGGAACTCAGGCCCGGAGGCAGGGCCTGTTTGACCTGGTCCTGCTGGAACAGCAGGTCCCCTGGTCTCCATGGATCTGCTGGTCTCCTGGTCTC